AATCCATACTAATCAAAAACTAACTCAAACCCAGCAATTCATTTATTGTGACAAATTACTTGCACGATTGAATATATTTGTATTCTTTCCATCAGTAGACTTCACACATCGCAAGCCGTCAGCCGGGATGGTGGAAGGTCAACCACACCACAGTAGAAGAGATTTTGCAGATGTGGGTGCCAGCCTCCATAGACACCATTGAAGGCAACGAGCAAGTCCTCAGGAACGTGGCTACACAGAGGTGGAAAGGACTTACCATCAAACATTTTGGTGGAGAGAAAGGGCTCGGTAAGAAAACCAACCAATTCATTTTTTCTTGTAAGGGGAGACACTGAAATGAGCATTTTAGCATTTTCGGCTAACTTTGAGCTCCACCTATAACAAAATGTATTGAAAGGTTTGCCAATCTGTAATGTTTATGCAGTTGATATTTAGATCTAACTCAAAATTTCACGTTTTCTTGATTACAGGAGTGGTTGCAACCAGGCCCTTTTCCAAAGGCGACATTGTATGTGATTACCATGGCGAGGTCATCACAGCTGATGAGGGGAAAAAGAAGATGGAGGCCCTTAAAAACCAACCGGGGTACATGTTCTTCTTCAAGTCTGGGGATAGGGCTCTCTGCATCGATACCCACACCCATCCATGCAAGTGCCACGCAAATTTAGAGACAGTTGGCAGAATAATCAATCATTCCTGCAAAAAGCCAAACCTGAAGCCAGTTCAGTGTGTTTTGAAGGTGGATGTGATCCTCTTCAAGACCCTAAAGGACATCAAAGTGGACGAAGAACTTCGGTTTGACTAAGGAGTCCAAAAGAAGTCCTTTAGAGGAGAGCACCTCCTCTAAACCAGTGGTTGGATGAATAAGTTTCTGTTGGCTTTCAGCATGCAGTTGCAGTTCAGTTTAATTCATCCTGCTGAATGTCTGGCAGACCTTTTTCAAATAAAACATGTTGCACATCAAATTAAAGCTTGGATTATTTTCTTCTACAACCTCCACCTCTACCAATGTTTCTTGCAAAGCATATATGGGGCCTGGGCTGTCCTGTTGCCACTGAGTACGAGTGAACTGTACCAGTGGCTTTTAGTCAACAGGCTATCTTATATTTACCATATTAACAGACACAATCAAATCAGAGTCAACATTTTATGTCACGTTTTCTTACTGCAGTTGTTGAAGAAAATCATCATAAGAGCCATTTTGTTGTTTTGTTTTTGTACATCCTCCCACCACTTGGGGGCATAGTGCCGGTGTGAATCGGGGCACAGGTAATATAATCAGTGGGGTCATTGGATACAGGTGTTGCTGAACAGAAGGGAGCAAACTGTTTTTAACCGTGCGACATTTAATGAATGGTAGGATTTATTGGTATATGTAGAGGAAATGGATAACGACAGAGAAAGTGGTTGGCCTCTGTTTATGTGAGAAATAAAATGCCTATATTGGAAACTGGACATCGTTATTTATGGCACGCGTCAGAACAAACATTTCAGCACCCGTGGTGACTTTTTTTAGGAAGCAACGGTCACTACAGAACTTATATTCGGACAGTGGTGGGCCGTGCATTTTATACCTCGGCCTTCTGTGCTGTCCTACTACAGTTGAACCACCTCCTAATAACCTCATTATGACGCCACAGCTACGGTTATTACCTACAAATACACTAACTGCAGAGTGCAGATACATGAATACGTGCGTCATTAACCTTTTAACTACTAGCCCTATTTTTAGGCCTCTGCTCGAAAATTGCATACCCATACTCAAGAGAGTCCACAGCTCTAACTACAAGGTCTATTTTAATAATTTTGATGGTTTAATACAGGTAACACTTGTGAGATGTGTTCAATTGTGTAAATATTGTGTATATGTTACTGGTTAATAGTGAATGAAGATGGCACACAGCTCAAATTGAAAAGTTTCAGGTTCGCCTGAAAAAAAGCACTTTTATTGAACATTTTTTTTTAAATAATGCAGATTGAAGCCTAAAAATACTCCACAGTCATAGCACAACAGGTTTGTGGTCTCTCCAAGCTAATTTTACTTAGATTGAGTGAAGCAGGCCAGCATAATAGGTCTGAGTACAGAATTTCAAGCCGAATTCTCATTTCTCTCTCATGCTCTATTCTAATTTTATATACTATATAACTATATATTTCACTTTTTTATCACTCATATTATTCAATACATCCAAATACAGCTGTTTAGAATAATTTTGAGAGCCAGGGTGCTGTCAGAGCCTGTCTCTGGGTCTCATCTATAGGATTTTCTCAGTTCATGTGTGTGTATGTGGCTGTAGCTCAGCCTATCATCGGTAGATTTCAGTCAATGAGCCCGCCTTCGAAGCGTCAGAGTCTCAGGAAGGCGGGTGCCGGAGCGGGTGTTGATTGACAGATTTTTCGGCGAGTAAAGTTGCAAGAAGTGCCGCGTCTCCTCGAGCGTAAATTTCCTCGCTGGAAGTCTGACTGCTCGCCCATGGTGGATTGACCGCTCTTATTCTGGAAACAGCTCAGAAGTAAACAGGATGCAGTTAGCATCAATGATTCTAACTTTGAAACGGATAATCTGCGACGATATTTTACTCATTTTTCATAAAACCTGGCCCAAAACCCACGATTTTTTTCGGCGAAGGGCAGTACCATCTTACCGTTCTCCACTCACAGCTTTCTAGTGGTTATACGGAGAGAAAAACCGAAGGTAATTATGTGTTCGGCCACGGGTGCTAATGCTATAAAATGCATTGCAATGCTAGGTAGCCGCTAGCATCGTGGTGCAAATATTGATTCGCCGTACTCATAACGGCGATTTATGCCCAGGATTTCATGCTTTTATGACACGTTTTCTAGATGCTTATATAAGTAGTCTATAGTTGTGTTTGGAGTGTGTAAGAAGTGACTTATATGATAGTGTTGCCCATACGTTGCTGTTTAATCTGGAAAAAAAACTGGACAAATCCACAATACTGGCGAACAATAAGGCTATTTTCAGGGGTGCTGAGCCCGAGCGCCCGTAGCCAGAAGGTTAAACCTGTTAAACCCTAGCCCTATTTTTAGGCCTCTGCTCGAAAATTGCATACCCATACTAAAAAGAGTATATCTCTGCAACCACAAGGTATATTTGAATAATGTTTGTATTATAATAAAGGGAACACTTATGAGATTTGTTCAGATGTGTAAATATCAGTGTATATGTTACTGGTTAAGAGTAAATGAAGATGATTATCTATTTTGAATGATGCAACTGAAAGTCTAAACCTCTCCCATATCATAGCACAATATGTGAGCAATCTCTCTGCAAAGTTTGACTTTGATAAAGTGAAGCAGAACAAAACTAGAGAGGTTTTAGTACAGAGAGGTCAGGCGTGGTCTCCAAAATGGTCAGTATATCCGTGCATTTTAGTTCCAGTAAGAAGTCCTTCTCGATTCATGGATGCCAGTGAAGACAGTCGAGCCTCCCCAGTTGTATTTCTTGAATATGTTTTAATGCGTGAATAAATTATAAAATAGCTATAACTTTGTGATTCTGTCTAGGCCAGCAGAGAAGGCTTTGCTGGCCCTGACGGCCCACCACTGGAGGATATCCTCCCTTCTCTTCCTTTCTTGCTATAGAGTGCTGCAGAAATCGTCCGAGTCCTAAAAACAGGAAATAAATTAGCATTTTTGCACTTCCCAATCCCTCATCTCACAGTCCTTGCCCCAATACCAGTGTCCCCCCCAAAGCCTTAAGCCCCTAACCCTTGGGGACTTAACTGACGTTACCGCCTAAATGACTGAGAGTGAGAGGCTGTCATGTTATTTACAATTGTGGGGTTGTGTTTCAAAGCTTTACTGCCTGATTTGAACTTCTTCCAGGCTTTTACCTTACTAGACTAGGTAAGTATCAAATAATATGTATACTTGGTTTTGTCAAAACAGCGTAAATAGGCTAAATGGCTGAATAAAACAGGTGTGTAATATAGCCTATGCGTGCAATTCCTCTGATTTCATGTGTTTGTATGTACAATCTTAAATTGATAAGGTTTCTGCATACATGTAATATGCCAGGCTGAAAAGCTGATGGGAGTACCAAGACAATGTTATAAAGATTCTCCACGCTATCCTACCTATAGGGAGAAAGATAAGCTTGTTGATACTGTTGGTCATGGATAGAAGCTAAGACCACTAACTATACTAATGGACCCCGAGGCCTCACTTTGCAGTTTGTCTAGCGCGTCTTAAAAGAGGGAGGATTTCTCCAAGGGGGGCCGAGAGAGGGGGCAGTGGCCTTCTTGCTAGAAGACCGATCTTAGAAAAGGAAGTTAATTCAGAAATGACAGCCCCTTCTAATGGGCCACCAGAAGAAGCCTTATCTGAAGAGGAGAGATTAAAATGAACCGAGTTGCAAAGCAATTTAGATGACATGTATCAATAAAAGCAGAGGAAGCCTTTGTAAGTTCAAGGCAGAAATAGATAGACTGTCTGCCTATCTCTTTAAACTAAAGTAAAGTTTCATTCTATACTACAGTGGAATATTGAGGGGACTGGTTACTGGACAATATCTCAAAGTTGTGTCATGAATATTATTCTACTTTATACAAAACTAAGTTTGATGGGGATGCCATTGTCAGCTTTTTGTAATTATTTGGACAGTACATTCAATCAGCCAGGAGGAAGTTAATGTGTGATATTCCAATCACTTTAGAGGAAGTGAAAGTTGCCATAAATCATCTAAAAAACAATGGTTCATTTTGACAGTATTTTCAGAGAGCATTGCAATATCTACAGTGTCTATCATCAGGACACAGGCTAAAACCTATTAAAGTAGCCTAGTCGAGATGGGGTCTAGAGACAGGTAGAAGGTTCAGACGTAGACATTGTTGAAGTCAATTGGTCATGGTCAATGGGAGTAAAGCCATCTAAATATATATATCAGGGTTTACAGCTGTTTCTGAGGTTCCTATTTGAGGATAAACCGGTACGGGTTGAGGGGAGAGTCATCAGTCATCAAGTTCAACAAGTTTGACTTCATAGAAAAAACTTTAATGATCATGTTATTGTATTTACAAATATAACTCACAAACTAATCAGACAAGGTACAACAAAATGACATCAAGGACTAAGAAATTTCCTTTCATACAAGAAAACTTACAAATAAAAATGAAAACACAACAATCACTACGAATTGTTGGAGAAGAAAACATGTCTAATGTTCACTTTCATCAGAAAGTCAGAGTTTCAGATCTAACGAGGGCCAATGTTTTCTTCCTGTTGGACATTTCAAAGACTACCAGCAACATGAAGAGGTGAGCTCCGTATAAAAGGGTTGGAGAGTGTCTAGCCCTGGGTGTGCTTCCTGCTGTGAGGATATGGAGAGTGTCTAGCCCTGGGTGTGCTTCCTGCTGTGAGGATATGGAGAGTGTCTAGCCCTGCGTGTGCTTCCTGCTGTGAGGATATGGAGAGTGTCTAGCCCTGGGTGTGCTTCCTGCTGTGAGGATATGGAGAGTGTCTAGCCCTACGTGTGCTTCCTGCTGTGAGGATATGGCCTACATTCTGAAGACATATCACTGTAAACAATGGTCATGTTGCTAAACGGCTCCACTGCAGTTCATATGCACATTCATGATGTTAGTGTTTCTGTTAGTGTTTGATGATCCAGCTGCTCAGTTCTCCTCAACAGACACTCTGTTTGCTGACCAGCTTAAATGACCACTTGAGAACGTGGGTGTGCATACTGTAGAGAAGAAGAAATCCCCCCCAAACATCAGCGTACACTTTTCAGGTATTCTAGCACTTTTCCTTAACCTGACTCATTTATATCGAGTCTTGAGTTTGTCAATGGAAAAAAAACTTTTACAGTGGTCAATTATAATCAATTAATACTTCTGATTTAGAATTATATAATATATATATAACATTTTATTTGCATTGAAAATGTGCATAAAAAACTAAAGTAACATTTAAAAAATATTAGAGTAATTCCACATTGAAAAATAACATTGAATTGGAAAAATACAGTTTAGGAAGCATTTCATATTTTACATTTCAAGATGTGCATGCAGTATGTCAAGTAAAAATCATATCTTCATACACACTTTCAAATTAAAGAGAGGTATGTAAAATACAAAGAAAATGAAATGGACACTGAATACTTGATAAAAGGTTAATAAACAAAAGAAAGCTCAACCTACAACATATGGTGTGGCTGTAGTGTACGTGGCATCATGTGATCTACAGTATATCTGATCAGCTCCACAGAACAATAAGGACTTCACATCCAGTTAACAGAATAAACCCTGAAACAGTGAGAGCTTCTGTGTTCAGGCCACACACGCTGTGATTTGGAAGACTGATCGGGATTATGGAAGTGCAGTGATCGAAGAGAAAGAAAGTGGGATGATGGGAAGAATACTCTTGTTCACCAGAGACAGATGAAAGATCAATAATTGCTTATTTTTCAAATTGACTGTTGCTTTAAAATATTGTCTTTGTTATGATTGACCGCTCTGAATGGCACTAAATAGTCCTAATGTTGATAACCTCTACTCCTGTTTGGAGTATTTGGGCTTGTAAGGTGCATCAAAATCAAAATGGAGAATCATTGGGGGGGTCCCTGAGAGGAGAAGACATCAACTAAAGTTTCCAAAAAGAAGAATCCATCATCAACCTGCTGACAAATCACAGCAAAAACTAGACAAAAGCTGCCTGAAACAGCTCTGGAGCCAGCTCATTACGCTGCAGTTCAATAAACAACGATCCAAGTGTCCCAGTTATAGTATTCTGGACTAATGTCTGAGTATTTGGCAATATTGTGGATCTGGATTGTTTATGTGGCTGGGTGAAAGGTCATGGACTAAAAACAAAAGCCCACCATCTGTTCATGTTTCCTGTGACTCGTGTTGACTGGCTTCTGTCCGAGTATGATATTGTGTCTTTTGTCTTCCAATTTAAACCATTAAATCAATTTAAAACGGTTATTTTAATTGAGCCTACTACACAGGTGGAGTGTCTGTTTTTGTTGTGTATGTTTTCAAGGTTCATTATGCAAATGAAATTTCCCAAAAAGCCAATAAAGGTAAATCATTTATAGATTTGTTTAATATGAATTCATTCCACTTTGACACCGAGTTCTCTGTTAAAGTTCAACATTCAAACAAGCTGCTCAAATTGGACTTTAACGTCAACATCAGTAAATATTCTGACTGAGAAAAGAGAAGCAGCACATGATCATGATGAGTGAACATTTCACCTTCTGATGATGGGGTCATTTAGGGATCTGTCCCTTAAAGCTGGAGTGCAGGACTTTTACATATGAACGTCCGGTTTGTTCCAATCAAGCGTCTTCCAAACGAGTGAACACACTGCTGATTAACACCGTCACCGCCAGGGCAGCTCTCGGTATTTCTCAGTTTATCAGAACTAATGCTGTGTAATGTTTAAAAAAGGATTCATTCATCGGGGCGGCGAGCTCACATCTCTCCTGCAAGCATACATCTAAGCTGTTTGTGTAATTACTGTCAGTGCCAAGGGGGGAGACAAACGTTCTGCACTCTTTCAGGAAACACCTGGACCTGATGACCCTTTAACCCAGCTACGTTTTTGTTCCAGCCCATTTATTAAAGCTGCATTCATTTCTTTTTTCAGCCACCTGGTAGCAGCACAACTGTGAGACAAAACTTTGTAGCTGCTAGATGCTCCTCTGTGTTCACCTGCTAGGCTCTCACTGTGTCTGTGTGCTGCTTGGCACACACACACACAGAGCTCTACTGCCTCTGGGCAGTAGAGCACAGAGGCTTTAACAGAGCGGCTTTAAAAGTGATGTCATGTATGACTTGTAATACATGTGGAAAACATGCATTCAACAAATTCCTTTTTTAACATCAGTCAGTCATCCAAACTTTGTTCATCACTTAATAAGCAAATAGCACATTGAAGCAGTTTAATCAAAGGGGATAGATAAGTGATAGATAACACACAAAACTGAGAAAACAATCCAGAGAAGTTCATTTGTGGAGATTTTCTTAGGTGATAAAAAACATGTTATGGACAGAGGGAGAAAGAAAAGAGTTGATGATCTGACCTCTCCTAACACCTTCTGTTCACACAGGCAACATCTCACACTACTTATTGAACCCATGCTAGTTTCACATCTACACATACAAATGGAGCAGTAGAAAAGCGTCATTTTCGTGTTTGCATTTTGTCCAACTTCAGTCTTCACTTCCATGTCCAAACATGACGCCATTGTTTACAGCATTAACTGTGGGATCCAGAACATGTCTCTCCCTTCACTCAAGGAGATGACATCAACAAAGACATGATTTGCTACAAGGACGATCTGAGGTATGGCAAAGTAGGTGATATTTCCTATTTCCATAACATCTTGCAAACATCTCCCAGGTTTAATGCAAGAGTTCTGGGAACCTGGCAGAATATTATCAAAGTTTTTGTGAAGCAGTGAATGGAGCTCTATGGGCATGCTCACTTCAAGCATGTCCAGAGCAGTGGATTCAGACTTCTAGTGTGGTTCAATAGGGGAGATGAGATCAATGCCATTCCCCAAAAAGAAACATTACAGTGAGGCCCAAAAACACAGGCCTGAGCCACAGAGCCCCGCCCACACTGGAAGGGAAAACAATTCACCACTCTCCATTGACTTGTGTCAAGGTTCCTCCTCGCCGCCTTCGCTAGAAAACAGATAAATGGCGAGAAGCTGGCGTGTGGTTCAATGCTCTACCAACACAAACACAGAACTAAGTTTTTAGAAGCTGTCAAACCGAAAGAGGCATCAGCAGGAAGAATGAGAACTGTGGGATCAGTTTGAACTATATTTCTGTATATTAAGCTAAAGCCTGATGACAGTATGCAACTTGTCTTACAGTGGAATATGGATCAATTAGAAAGCTATGCAGTATTATGTTGGCAAGTGCCTTAGCCAACGACATTAGCTTGCTAACGTGTCCCGTTATCGTTTAGACTGCACCCCTGGAAGACATAGGGTGCTAAATGAACCCTTTGAGATGCTGAACTCTGTAGCTGGCTCCAGCACTTCAGCCCTGGGTTGCTAATTGTTTTCCCTGCTGTAGGCGAGGTATTCAGAGTACGTCCGTGTCTCTGCTCTGGATGTGGCAGGACTGATAACATAATCCAAACTAACAGGACATGACCTCAAACATGCAAGGGTTTATGGGTAGGAGGAGGTAGATATTGACATCTGGAATTGGAGTGCCCAATTCACTTTGAACCTTGCCACTGTTAACAGTAGTGGTGACCGTTTCTCTAGGACACCACTGGTTTGCTCCCATTACAAATTGCAGCCACCACAATATTGAGAACTGAGGAAGGTATAATGCTCAGACTCATGCTCATCAAAGTCATGTTATTGCTGCGTGGGATTTATTTAATCTAAGTCTGAAGGTGACAACAATATGCTGTTATGCGCATCACATCTGTAGCATTACATTTGATAAATGATGTTATCATTCAGGTGACACCCATGTGCCGTCATCCTGGATTGATATTCGGACCACTGTGCTGTTAAAGGGTGCTACAACAGATTGAATGATATCGTTTCCACCTTGCCAAAAAAAAACAAAAAACTGGTAAACTGCTCTAAACATGCTTTCTACCGACAGTCCTTTAGATCAGCTGCTTACATTGGCCAAGTGTTGACATTTGGGCAGCCACAACATTAATGGCCACAATATTCAGACATAAGAATTTCAGTTACTTTCAAAAACAGCAGAATATTACAATCTGATAAGAAAAGATGGTAAAAAAAGCTCTACATGGTTTATTGTATAGAAAGGATCTGAAATGGCAAGCCTGAGGGGCACCAATCAGAATACAGTCTGGAAAAGTAACAACGGTTCATATGGCAAGATCATCACTACTCTAGTGTTCCTCTCTCTTAAGGGAAGTAGTTTACAAATACTGGAAAGGACTTATGCATTTCCCTTTACATTTAAAATGATATATTAACAAAGTGTTAGAATACAGAGAGAATGCATTTATTGACAGTTAGGCCAGTGCTGGGAACAGTCCCGTTCCTCTCCCTGGGGAGGAGGGGTCTCATTGCTGAGCCTTACATTGGCTGGTTTGGATTAGGGTAGGGTGAGCAGGTGGAGACAGGCAGAGCTGCAAGGCCACCCGTGAGTCATGCTGCCTTCGCCATGGCAACCCTGATATGGTGCGGCATTAGAGGATCTGAAAGGCAGGACAGAGTGTATATAGTTAGGGATTTACTTCCTAAAATAAAACTATGAAGACATTGTCTGTGCCTTCTTTTAAGGCTCTTGAAAGTGCTGGACTGCAGAACTACAGAAGGCACAGTGATCACGTAGGACATCTGTTTTGAGCTCAGTTGAGAGGAAGAAAGCAGAAACGTAGAAGTAGACGGTGGTCAGTATATACACATTATATTCAGACACAGATTGATTGATATGAAAATTGTATTTATTTGAATTGAGGTATCTGTAACCTTCAGACAAGATGGCCACAGCCCTTTGTTCCCCAACTTAACCGTTCACCTCATTCCAATCTGTCCGTCCACTGGCGACATCTTAGATTCTCTTACAAGATGCCACACACCAGACTAAATGGAGCCAGCCATGATGACTCTTACTGGATTACCAATGCCATCAAAGTGGCAACAATATTCATTTATCTCTTGATAAAATGTAGCTAGATCCATTGGTGCATGCACTAAGGATGTGAAGATCTTTTCTGTCTCTTAAGGAATGGCAGCATGGCCGTACTTGAACAGCTTTTCTAGGGTCCTGTTACTTACATAGTACCACTATGGACACCATGACAACGATTGCTTGTTTTGAGGATAGGGGATAATGGATAAGTTATTGCCTCAGCATTTCTTTTTTGGCAGAGATTATATCTATTATCTTTTTGTTGTTTTCAAGGCACGTTCTTCCTCCATGACAGTCATCCACATGGCTAGTTAGAAGATTAAACGCTTGCTGTACACACATCGAGTGGATGTAGGATTTATTCAAGACTGACATTTGAAATGTAACGATGTGACACATCCCTCGAATGCTGCATGTCCCCTGCATGATACGGCACGGCTCTACTCAACCTGGTACCACCTCGGTGGAGGTTCCAAGAGAGCTAAGCAGGTACAAGAAGGTGGAGCTAAAACTCTGCAGGCCACTGACTGGTCAGCAAGAATCATCCCGAGCACGATACCGGACATCCAGCACAAACCCACCGTCTTTAAATAGCTACCACTGTATTCACTCAACCGAAATGTGATGAACTGGCAGCCTGTAAAACTACGACGTCCACTACTGTATACATACACGATGCCATACATGAAGTACACTACTACTACTTACGCGACGGAGTACAATAACACCCCTACACCGTACACTAACACTACACAAGGTACAATACACTGTACACCATGTACACTAAGAAGTACACTACAGAGTACAACTGAAGTGCAGACGCTCCTGTGTGGTTGCAGATGAAAGGATCCAGCGAGTGTCCCATTGAAGAGGATGTCACAGCAGTCTGACACGGTGATCAGATGAGAATCCCGCCTACACTGAGGGCTAACTATCTGCAGTGGAAACGAGCCATATACTCAAATACTAGAAGGTCTGTGGTCATTAAGCAACACTCTCTGTCCTTAACCATCAACCACAACGCTCTAGAAGTAAAGATGGCCGTATTTCTTTGATAAAGACAATTATTGCTGGTAAGAAGTTTGCTTTCATCTCAGTCTCTGACAAACAAAACTATTTCATTCCATGTTTTTGTATAAGAAATATTCACCAAACTCAAACTTAAGAATCACAACTAGAAGCGCTAGAGTAACATCAATGCTTTTCTGAGTGACATCAATCATTGACAGCATAGCACATATTACACTTTCTAATACATAGAATAAAGAGAAAGTACTACGTTAATGGGAATAATCCCTGTAGCCTTAGAACTCAGCCAAAATGGGAGTCTAGTAAAACTATTCAATCACACTGTGGCCTCCTGCCAGATCTCAGGGGAAGCTGCTGACCATTTAGTAAATATTATGAACATTATTCTTAGATGTAACAAACACCTCTCTCCCCTCTTATGTATTCTCCCCACTAACCTCTGGCCCAAAAGATGAGACACTCTTGTTAATAACGTTTTGTCTCCATTGCTTACATATGTTTGACAATAGTTGGATGGAGTTAAGCACACGTTTCCCTTTGAGCACAGTGTTGGGCAGTGTGTTGTTGGTACATATACACTAGTCACAACACAGTCTTTATAGCAGGACTCATTTTTAGCCCACGTGGAATGACTGAGGAGTACCTTACCACAATATTGGCTCGTTGCGTTGCTCGTTTTCTTCCTGAGTGTTTGCTCTTCTGGGACGACCATCTTCCTCTGGACACAAAAACACATGAACATAGCTATATGTGGCCTGACTTAGTCACATTTGATCATCTTCACTTTTTTTTATTAATTGTGTTTTGTGGTCATTGTCATTCGACACTGTGGGAATGCTCTTCTTTAGGCATGACACCAAGGTATCTCCTACATCAGGCACAACATTTATCAGCTCAAATCTCATAAGAGGCCAGCTAAACGCTACAATCAGGACTGTATAAAGAATTTTAATCAAAGAAAAAACACACTTTCACATTAATTCTGATGTGAACACAGGTGCATCACAGCACACACTCAGCTGTGATCAGGAGTGTGGTCAGAGGTTCCCCGTGGAGTTTGTGACCACTATTAATGCTTTAGGACAATGTTTTTATGTGTGGGCCAAATTGGAACCAATGCTAAAGAGCTGCATTCTCTCCAATAGCCATCAGGGGGAGACTCCTCTGGTTGTATAGAAGTCTATGAGAAAATGACTACTTCTCTCTTGATTTATTACCTCAGTAAACATTGTAAACATGAGTTTATGGTCTCAATCTCTAGTTTCAAGTCTTCTTCACTACAGCATGATGTTCATTTAGTAAATGATGGTCCATTTAGAGTCAGACAGACCATGAAGCAGGGGATGCTTTGGGGTTTGTTTTCACTTCAATGTTAATTGTAATCCTTCTGGTCGCTTTAAAATGTCGTACTAAGTTCCATCCTCTCCAGTCCCTTCTTGTAGCAAAAAACAACCAAAATGCCGATCTTGAAGGGGAGGAAAACATAAATGGCTTACCAAATCTCATTTTCTAAAACCTTTCAGGTTGTGGGTTTGAAGTCACAGCAGAGACACATTCATGTGCATGGACTGGTTATGTTTTCGCTGCAGAAATGTAGCTATTTTGCAATACAATCGAAGAAAACGAGGAAGTGCAACATTTAGAACACACACCCTGAGGCCCAGACTAGAAATCCAAGCTGAACTAGCAGCCTGCAGTTCCAACTACGTCACCGTTAGTGTTGAATTAAATTGGAAAAAACTACACATATACACACACACACACACACACACACACACACACACACACACACACACACACA